TTCACTGACAAAACTTTCATTTTAGGTTCCAAATCTCAGGTCCAATTGGTGGAGTCTGGGGGGGATGTGAGAAGACCCGGAGAGTTCCTCCGTCTCTCCTGCCAAGCCTCTGGATTCACCTTCAGCAGCTACTGGATGGCTTGGGTGAGACAGGCTCCAGGGAAAGGACTGGAATGGGTGGCATGGATACGTAATGATGGAGGAGAAATCAACTATTCTGACAAAGTCAAGGGACGCTTCACCATCTCCAGGGACAATGCCAAAAGCCAGCTGTATCTGCAAATGAACAACCTCAAAACTGAAGACACGGGAGTCTATTACTGTGCGAGAGGCACAGTGAGAGGAAGTGAATCTGATGCTAAGCAAAAACCTTCTCCTCCTCTGAGCAGCTTTCCAAAATAATTCAGTCACAGGGAGTTGAATGTGAAGCACTAGATAAATCTTCATAGCTGGTTGTGGACCTTCAAATCTGATTTACAAAGAAGCCATGTTTAACCTGGTTTGCACTTTGGTGATGGTGGGGGAGGGAATCTCCAGGCTGTGGAATAAACTGGGTAGCTTTTAAACAGTTAAATTTTATTTATAGGAAGAAACATGGATTGAAGTCCTAGAGATCTTCCTTTGTATATTTTAGAGTAGAATAGAATAGAATAGAATAGAACAGAATAGAATATACAGAGTTGGACGGGACCTTGGAGGTTTTCTAGTCCAACCCCCTCCTTAGGCAAGAAGCCCTACACGACTTCAGACAAATGGTTATCTAACATCTTCTTAAAAACTGTTGGAGCATTCACAACTTCTGGTAGCAATTTGACTTTGAGACTTTGAACTGAGGAGCAGGTGATCAATCTGCATCATAGCATTAGAATACTCAGTAATGGTTCATAGAGCTCACAATAGGGAGTTGGGAGTTGTGTGTGACAGTGAACAGGGAATGGACTGGAATGGATTGTGTGATGCCAGTAAATAAGTCTATGCAGAATCCATAAAGAGTTCTTTGCCATCTCCAGAGAGAAATTGAAATGCCTTCTGTATCTGCAAAGGGACGTCAGAGGAGGCGCAAAACACCTAATATATTTGCCGATCACTGAAATAAAAATCTGTGGTTCAAGCTGTGAACTTGACTGCTTATCCAGCTGCTTCCTGGAGAGTTAAAATAGTTTCTTGAAGGAAAAAAAATAGTCCTTTGAGAATTTCATTCCCCAAGAGTTCTCAAAACTTCTTCTACGTCAACCTTCAATATGTATAGCAAAAAAATCATTTTTATTGAATGTTTTAATCTTTAAAAACTGTAAAGAAGACACAACAAGAAAAAAATAAAAACAAAACATAGAACATATATAACAATATGCAGTAATTTTAAAGCTTTCTATATCGGCTTTCCTGCTTGGCTTTTATAGTTCTCCCTTCTGCATTGCCTTCCTATAGCTTTAACCTTGTCCTGTAATGTAGCAAACGTAGTATTAACACTTATAATAATATTCACTATTTGTATCACCCTATATTTATATTCCCTATTTTCTGTTTCGGCTTCTGATTTCTAGCCACTTATACATTTTATTCCATACTTTACAAAAGTCCGATTCGTCTCTTTCTTTTAGTTCTATTGTCTTTTTATCCATTTCTGCACATTCAAGGGAGCACATATACTAAAATTGGAATGATACAGAGAAGATTAGCATGGCCCCAGCGCAGGAATGACACGCAAATTTGTGAAGCATTCCATATATTTTTTTAAAAAATCATTCCTCGTATCTTATTTACTTATGTCATGTATGCTTGGTGGATGAACAAAATATTTTTTTTTGCTTCTTTGACTTTACTCAGTTATATTATTAAAACCAAAATCATACACATGTTCAGTTAATCCATGAAAGGGAGCTTTGCCATCTTCAGAGACAAATCCAAGTAAACCTCTGTAGCTGCAAAGAGACATCAAAGGGACTCAGAAAGCATTCAATATTTTTGACCATAAGTGAAATAAAATCTGTGGTTTCACTTGTGATCTTGATTGCTCCTACAGCTACTTAATGTTGAATTAAAATATTTTTTTGAAAGATGAAAAAGAATGGTCCTTTGAGAATACTATTTCCCAAGTGTTGTTACAACTTCTTATCTGTCAAACTTTCATTTTCCCTACTGGTGGTCTGCAGAAACCACTAATATTGAAGTTGTTGAGTGATTCTCATCATTTAAGACCCAGTTTGTGTTTGCTGAAACATAGGAAGAACTATTGTAGGAACTGGGTATGTCTTGTCTAATGAAGAGAAGGACTAGAAATGACATGATAGAAGTGTTCCAAACCTAAGTGGCTGCCAGAAAGCACAAGGAATCAACCTTCAATCAAGGGTTGAATGAATCAAAGAAGAGGGAGTCAAGCTATGGAACATTATTTGAAAGTCACACATGTTAGGTCTGTCCAAAAAACCTCTAAGTGATTGCATTCAGGTGCTCTTTTATCCCAATCAATATGTAAATGAGGTCATCATTTCCCCTTTAAAGGAGCTGCATGGTTTCCCTTTTAAGGCTCCACGCACCAG